TGATCCAGATGTTGAGGTGGAGAAAAATGTGCGGGATAAGGAGACCGTTGAATGTGGTAAAATTATTACTCGATTATTATACATCAATGCATCATATTAATGTTCTTACTCAGTTATTAAAAAAAAATAGAACAAATGCAACATGTTATTGAATTACTTTTTTTTCTCTTTCGCAGATATGATGAAATCACCATCTCCGATGCCCGAGCATGAAATGGCTGGACTTCATGATGATGCGGGTATGTAAAATATAATTTTAACTGCTACGTAATTTGATAGTGCATTGTTGTAAATAAATGAGTATTGATTGTTTTTTTTGCTTATTGTAGGTTTTGCGTCATCAGCCATTGTTGTGTATCAAGATAGACCACTACCAACACCAGTGGAGATAGAGTCAACACCAGTGGAGATAGAGAAAATCGATGTAGACGATCCACTTGAGTCTCCTAAGGGAAGAGGGCACCGGAAGAAAAGAAAGGTCGTCGTTCTATGTACTCCGTGGAGGAATATTGAAAAAAGAAAAAAATGTGCAACTGTGACAGAGTACGACCCTTTTAGACCAGTGGATCCAGCTAAACTTGAAGATCTCCAAACGTGGTTGTCGAGCTCCCCTGAAAGGTATGTAATTGTGTTAATTTAATTGTGGGCTACTTATTGTAATATATAAGGTTGTATGTCTTTGTTTAATGTATTGATTTTTTATGTCGTTTTGAGTTGTCCTATGGTGGTCGAGCAGATAAAGATTTTTTTAATAAACTCGTGAACGATGGATGGCTTTCTATTGAGGTAAAACTATTTACAAAAATTTATTCAATATTTAACTTTGAAAAGCATGATATTCGCTAATCTAATAAACATTATTATACTCTTAGCATGTAGATGAAGCGCTTTTTCACATTCGAGAGCGTGGTAAACAGTTCCCTCACTTGTTTAGACAAGATTGTGTTGTCTTGGACACGTTTTTTGTCCCGTACGTGAGAAACTTCTTCAAGGACATGTCGAAGACTAAACAATTACCGAGGGCCTTGAGTAGATACGCGAGAGGGGAGATACCCAATAATGGAAAGCCGTGGACTGCTTGTACGAAATTATATGTTCCTTTCTGCAAAGAAGGCAATGGCCACTGGCTCGTGCTGGAGATTGATCTATCCCTAAGATGCATTTACGTATACGATAGTGAAACAAGTGTCATGCGGAGGGCAGAACTGGAGAAGCAACTTGAGCCCATTCGAGTTGTTGTACCGATGTTACTGATGCAGCTGAATGCTAACTACAGTGCTGAAAAGTTTGAGTACAAACGGTTGACATCTCCTAGCCAAAGCAATGGGTACGTATAATATATATTTTGATCATATTAGGTTTTTAACTGTAGTATAAAACTTGATAAAGTAATAGAATTATATACATTTATGGTGCAGGTTTGATTGTGGGATGTTTACAATCAAGTTTATAGAATTTTTGCATGCTGGGAAGAATATAGAAGGCGTAGAGCAATCTCAGATTAGTATTTGGCGTGAAAAACTAGCGGCTGAAATATATGGTGCTCATTTTGATCCATGATTTGTTTTAAACATTCAATATGTAATGGATTGTAGGGATCTTTTGGA